CCTGTTGCCCCTTCCTCATGAAATAAATCAAAGTATGTGACAGTAGACGTGGCAGCGGGATGGAAGCCGTGCAGACACACACCTGAAGTGAGAATATTTCACCTCGTTCTGTATCGTTGAAGTTTGTGATCGGCTTATTTATTCTGTTTTGATGCATTATTAGGTCGTGAGATTATTTTTTTAACATCCTGCTGTACTTATTAAACTCAGACCAGTCGTTCTGTTTTATTTAACAGCAGCTGTAAGAAGTTTTCCACCTTGGTTTTGATTGAAATGTGGAAAATGAGATTTAAATGGAGAAATGTGACGTTAATGATCGGGGAGGTTTTTAAGTCAAATTAAATATCAGACGTTCAACATTTTGTAATTTGTGACTCTGACAAAATAAATAAGGACTAATATGTGTGTGTGGATGCTTTTTGTACATGTATGTTAAACTCCTGGATCCACTGATCTTCTGACAGACGTTAAGAGAAGGTTTTTGGTGCCAGACAGAAATAAACTGTTGAATATTGTGGTGAGATGATGTTCATAATTAAACATGCGTCGCTTCATGGAACTTTTTTAAAGTGTTGAAATATTTGAATCTATTTGTAAAAAGAAAAAAAACAAAAAAAAGTGGTGAATAAATGTTTTTTCTATTTCATTTAAGATCATGTTCAGATTTCGTATTTTTGTCGACACGTCTGTGAAAATGAGTTTTGTCTGTAAAAAAATCAAATAGTTCTACTGAATAAAAAAGCAGCGCGGCCAATGGGAAGCCTCGTCTGTGTCCTGTTAGCGAATAGAAATGATTCTTCCATTTTCTGGTAATTCAGCCTAATTTGCATGCTGTACGTTTGATAGAGCTGTATTTATTTTTTAATAGGACAAAAACTGTTATTTTACTTTTGGTAAATAAAATGCATCTGTTCATGTTTGCTCTGTTTCTCTCTCTGTTCATGACAAACTTTCCTCTGAGTCGGTTTAGTGTTTGTGCCTCTCATTGGTTAATATTTAGCACCCTCCAGTGGTTAGAAGAGATAAATGACCAAAGCAGACCAATGGAAGAAGGTTCGCTGTCATGTTTTAACAAATACTGTCACCTCTTGTCAGCTAATTAGCAAATAAAATATATAAAGATTGAGAATATAATGTGCAAGAGTAGAAATAGCTGCAGTACTCTCAAATTATTCAGATCCTTCAGTATAGTTACAAAAACCACATTAGAAAAATTAGAAGTCATCTATTAAACATGTTATTTAAGTGTGGAGGTGTTGTCAGGAACGTGTCCACGTATAATTCAACATGTGCTCTATTTTGTAAGGTGGAGTTAAAGTTAAATCATTCTGACTTCAGTCTTTGATTATTTCAGTTATGGATCCATCCTGTGATTATCTTTATTAGGACGACCGTTTAGCAGCTGGATGAAGCCGGAGACTTGAGGCGAGATAAGGTGCAGACCAGCCGGGTGTTTATTCAACGACACGTTACAAAAATGAGACACAAACAGCAACCAAAAAAAAAGCAAAAGCAGTCAACTGGTGGCATATATCCTGCTGCTCCTTCTCTCTCCTCTCTGTCCTCATTCAACTGCCAGCTTTTTATAAGCAGCCCCTTAATCAGCCTCTCAGGCCGACCAACGTACGGGTTAACCTAAAATAATCAAACACAAGAAACACACCAAAAACACGACTTCATTACTTTGAACTACTATAACAAACATTAAGACTAAATATTTATTTCATAAAAACAACTGCCGACATCCCCATCAAACAACAAATCTATTTCATCACCTGAAGACAGTACGACCCCCCCTCTCCTCAGCTACATTTGGTTTCTCCCAGAACCTTTAAAAGGTGTTCCAGGCCATGGGGGGACGCTTTAGGATGGAACACCTGAGGAGACAGAAGAGAGGTGACAAACTTTTCAACTCACACATTCACACTAAAACTAATGCCACACACCCACTTCTCTGGTCGTTCAGATATTAATTAAGTCCAATCATTTAATCATGGTACTGAAGCTGCTTTCTGTGTCTTGTAGGCCTCACCTGGTTTCCACCTGGTGCTCTGAGGAGAAGCCATCCAGCACCACGTTAGCCCCAACGCTACACTCATTAAACTCATCCCTCCTTCATTGTCTGGTGTCTTATTATGTTTATCCCAGAATAGGCACCTACCTGTAGGTAATGAAGATCAGCTTCATCACAACCTTCTGGACTGATTCATTGATTGTTTAGTTTATAAGAGTTCTGAAAATAGTGAGAAACGTCCGGTTACCTGCAGCCCAAACTGACATCCTCACTTCTTGCTTTTTGACACCAATAACCAGAATAGACATTAATTTGAGAAATCTTTACATCTGTGCAGCAGTGATAGTGAAATGTGAAATGTTTTTACATGAGAAATGGTTCAGATGATTGTCAACATAGCTGGAAATGAGTGACTGGTTGCTGCCATTAATAGCAATTTAAAGATTTAATCCATAAACTCTTCATATGTTTTGTACAGAATTAAAGAACTTATTTCCATTTACAACATAGTGGAGCAGAAACATGGAAGCAAAACACGGACAAACTGACACAATATATTCTATTGTGCACCTAAAAACCTGATTAGAAAACACAGAATTAAACACGATTATGAAAACACACAACAATATGCAGCATATATATAATATACATAACTGGAGCACCACAGCTGGTATTCTGCATCCTACACACCATTTAATGTTTAACTCTCAGTTTAGTGAGAATCTTTATTTTTTATTAATTTATTTTTTGGAAGTAAAACAGATATAGATCATTTGTTTTAAATTCCCTGTTATGTAAAATAATGTAGCTGCTAGAAGGTCCACTGGAAACACATGGAACAGCTGATAACGATGGAGAGTGTGCATTTATTTTTCTTTTTTTAAAATATTGAATTGCACATTTAAATACACAGAAGCATTACTGATAAATCTGCTGTAATTATTAAATACGATGCAGAAAGAATGCTCCCTGTGAGCACCATAGTATTATAATGTACTATTTTATAATAATTATTTGCATTAATAACTTTTTATCAGGTCAATAATCTGCTCCATTGCATCATATTTTATAAACTGATCATATCTTGTGTATTTTTTATGCACTATAAGCGGCTGTAATGTTTAACTTGTAATTATAGTGTAAACATGTAGAATAGAAATGCTCCAAAAGGAAACGGAAGTCGCTCCAAAGTGTTCTGAATGATGTTCCGATGCTCCTCCAGCTGCTGCTTTACATTCAGAGTCCAGTTTAGATCATTTTAAATATTCATGTTCGCGCATCAGAGACGCAGAAAGTGCTGATCTGCGTCGCTTTCACATTCAAACTAAGTTTCTGTTTATATTTCCAATATCTGCTCCAGTTTCCAGAGCTCCACCCTCGCCTCGGTTTAGAAGGATTTTTTTTTTCTTTCTCTCTCTCTTTCTTTTTTTTCTTTTTCTTTTTTTTTAATGTGCAGCTGCCATGTAGCAGAGGGAGGAACAGCTGGCTGAGGGAAGAGCCAGCCCGGGGAGTCAGTCACATTCCTGGCTGGGATTCAATGACTGAACCAGACACAAACAAACAGAGAGGGCGAGAGAGAGAGGGAGAGAGAGGGAGAGAGAGAGAGAGAGAGAGAGAGAGAGACTCACACATTGAGTGAGAGGGAGACGCACGGAGAGCCAGACGGAGCAGACGAGCCATATTTCGGGCGCACATTAGGAGTGCGTAAAACCGCAGGAGCACAGAAACATAGTACCCGGTGATTGTACGGCGGATAATACGAGTTCAGAGTCTGACTTGTCGACTTTAATTGCGTCTGCTTACAGGAACTGCCCTATGATTTCAGCAGCCGTCAGTTTTCTGAATGGACGCGCTGGGAAGCTTCTCCGGTGACATGGAAATGCGCGTTATTGAGCGTGTATCCGGATGCTGAGGACGAGCGAGCCGATAAGTCAATTCCAGCTTTCATTTTAGGAGTTTCTGAACTCTCTCTTCCAGCCGGCTACAACATGGAGGGCACCAGCTTCCAGCCCCATCCCGGACTTCAACAAACTCTCAAGCAGTTCCATCTGAGTTCCATGCGCTCGCTCGGCGGACCGGCGGCGTTCTCCGCTCGGTGGCACCAGGACTCCCTCTTCTGCAAAGATGGCAAATCCGCAGAGTTGATGCTCACCCTGCCGGCCCAGACGCCCCCGGTGATGTCCGGGCCACTTTTCATCCCCTCCGACCGCTCCACGGAGAGGTGCGAGACGGTGCTGGAGCGGGAGCCCATCTCCTGCTTCGTGGTCGGCGGCGAGAAGCGGCTGTGTCTGCCGCAGATCCTCAACAGCGTCCTCAGAGATTTCTCCCTCCAGCAGATCAACTCGGTGTGCGACGACCTGCACATCTACTGCTCCCGGTGCACGGCGGACCAGCTGGAGATCCTGAAGGTGGTGGGGATCCTGCCCTTCTCGGCGCCGTCCTGCGGGCTCATCACCCAGACGGATGCTGAGCGCCTCTGCAACGCGCTCATCTACGGCGGCACCTACCCGCCTCACTGCAACAAGGAGTTGGGCTCGTTGGAGTTTGAGCGAACCGAGAAGAGCTTCAAAGTGTACCACGAATGTTTCGGCCGGTGTAAAGGCCTGTTCGTCCCGGAACTGTACAGCGGTCCGGCCGCCGCCTGCATCCAGTGCATGGACTGCAGACTCATGTTCCCCCCGCACAAGTTTGTGGTCCACAGTCACAAGAGACTAGAGAACCGGACAGTCCACTGGGGCTTCGACTCGGCCAACTGGCGGGCTTATGTGCT